CGGCTTCCTGAATGGCCTGGACGCTGGCTCCATGCTTCCTCGCAGCACTGCCAGTCAGAGGAATATCTCCCTCTGACCAGAAGTTCTGGTATCAGGTACGTATTGAGTATGAGTACTTGCCCAAATACTCTGTATCAGCACCGATACTAGTATCAGGGCATGCCTACCAGTTACTGCTGCTCTCTCTCCATGTCCAGGGTGACTGGTCTTGTATCCGTTCCCTCCTGTAGTTTTCTACAAGCAGCCTGTAGTGGGAGGAGCTGTTTGGTCCCACCCACAGCTCTGGCCTGTGCACAGGTAAAATATAGGTTTTCATCATTTGGTGCACACAAAGTGGCTTTATATCCTTTGTCAACATTGTGGCTTATGTGTATTATAAGTGTTTGTGTATTATATAAGTGTATGTGTATTATAAGTGTGTGAAAGTTTTTGTGCCTGAACATAAACTTTAAAGCAGAACTCCAGGTATTTTTTTATTAACCCTTGCAGTGGTGTTAGCCCCATCCTGCAAGGGTTAACTGCTCATTTGTGTCTAGGTTTAAAAAAAAAAAAAAGAAGAATTGCTCATCCAAAGCTCTGAGGCAACTTCTTCTTAGACCGGTCCCTGAAATGTCTCTCCCCCCTCCACTGCAGCGGTCTAGGGTCCCGAAAATCACCACATTCTATACACAGTGTATAGACGTGAGGATGCGGAATAGGAGGGGTCAGGCTGGTGGGAGTGCCGTGACAGCTGGCCGGCTCTGAACTTTGGGTGAGTTTATCTTTATTTTAGCACCTAGACACAAATGAGCATTTAACCCTTGCAGTGCAAGCTTAGTCCCACTGCAAGAGTTAATTTAAAAAAAAATACCTGGAGTTCTGCTTCAAAGCAACTCCTTTTAAAAACTCAAAATCAAATCAAAATAGTCCAGAAGTGCCTGAAGGCATACTGACTTGCCCGGGTACCTGAGCGTCCTACAGGACAACCAGTATTTTTTGGGTATAGAGTGCGTTAAAATGACGTAGCAATCCATAAATCGCTAACCCCTGATTATTTCCCTTTTGAAATAGAAAAAGAGATTGAGGACTCAGTTTTATTTTTTATTTTTTTGCAGCTCCTGTTGAATGAACAGGAAGCCTCTATACTGAGTGCTCCTATTCCATTCATAAACTGAGGAGATAATATCAGTCCCAATTGGTGACACAGTAACTATATACTATGTCCTTATTTATTTACACACATCAATGTGATCAGGACCGATTACGCTGATGTTTGAGCAGTACATGGAAGGATCAGCAATCCATGCTATATTGTTCCGCCCTCCCGCAACTCTCCTTCTCCCTGCTGCCACTGTCAGTCCTGACAGCTTCTCTGCACCCCGCTGGGCACCGGAAGCTGCCTTTGTCTACACAGGTGGGGGTGAGCAGCGGGGATTGGGAAAGGGGACTCAGACCTTGCAGCCAGAGCCCAACAGCGAGGAGAGAAAGCTGGCGATGCACCGCATTTCCGGCCGTTTTGTTTTTTTCTTATTTTACTATTTGCATTTTTCCCAGAGTACTGTTTTCGGTCAACATTTAGGTGCATCACTTACACACACACCAGGGCTAATTTAGATGGGAGCCATTTAACCCGGAGGAAACCAACACAAGCACAGGAAGAATATGCAAACTCCATATAGACTGTTTAATCTTTTATGGGGACATGAAACAAAGAATCTGAGTGTTATAGGTATTTACTCCATTCCCTTTTTCCCTCCGGTTTCTATCAATAGGCCCTGTAATGTTTTTCACTGTCTCCAAACTTAGTCTTTCATAATCCAAACTAAAACCACCATAACAGTTTTTTAGTAGTCTTTTTGTTGTTGTTTTTAAATGGCATGCTGGTCTCAGGTTTTTGTCGCATAGTACCTGCTCTGGCTTTAAAATAGAAATTCAGCTGATAGAATGGGGAAGGTTAGAACGCCTGCGTCACCTAGAGTTCTAAACTGACTTGATGAGTCTGTCATCTTTGCTGGTTTGACTTCAGGGTTACCTTCCCTTTGTTATTATCTGACGTGAATCACTCGTGTAGACATACAGTCCATAAAGCAAAGTAAGATGTATAATCACTCTGGGTTGAGCCAACAGTGGTAGTTGCTCAGGTGCAGCTCAGTGAGGAGTTCTGGCAAGTTTAATTGAGTTTGTTTTGCTGCAGTATTAATGTACAACTAGCAAAGAAAATTCTCCATTAGCCAACGCACCTATACAATCTCTGCTCCAGAAAGTCTTTTTCGGTTGGAGCAATGCAAAGTAGTTTCTTCAAATAACTTTTCCACGACACAAGTTATTTGTTTCCAATAATGATAACGTTATTCTGTAGAAAGCCTTAGTATGTCTTTTAGTTTAAAGCTTAATTGTTTCTCCTTTTAATGACTAGGTGAAGTCATTTGGTTAAATAAATGACAAAGGTATTTCTTGTCTTTAAAATTAGAAGTTACACTTGGGCTTGGACGCAGTCACCACACCTACATTAGGGTTCAAGTTCTCTATACATTGTGCAAAAGACTTTGACAGTTCAGGCAGTTTCACCATTAGTCTACTGGACATCTGCCAGTATTTAGGAATATGACAACTCTTGCAAAGATCCAGTAACAAACAAATAATACTATAGCTCCAAATGATGACTCTGTATATAAAATCTGTTATTGTGCCCTGCTCATGCCAACCGTTTAGTAAATTTAGCTTACAACAAAATCTGCTAGCATTCTTTTCAGACCTATATGCTAATATATATGTCTGATTATATATCACTAACAATGACAATTTTAGTATTGTGTATACCAAAGTGAGCTAACCATTGGTTGCTTGATCAGCTATAGTACAGAATGTGGACAAATTCCAGTAGTTCAACTCTGTTTTGAATGTTTGTAGCAGTTTTCAGCATACATGTGAAGAAAGGGGAGATTTTAGGCAGACTTTGGAGAGCGAATAGAGGCAGCACTGTTACTTCTGCCAGACCTTGATGGACCACCAACATAATTGGTGTTGGTATTGGATGGAAACTCTGGCTATTTTACCCAAAGGTAAGTTGTTGTTTTGTTTTGTTTTGCTCTTTGGTGATTATACCTTGATGCAGTTAGAGTTCAGCACTACCATACAGTTGAATAGCTTTCTAGAAGTAAAATGGTGGTGATCACATTCCTGAACAATTGCTTAATTTTTTTTTTGTTGGGCTGGTCATAGACATTTGCATATTTCACTGAGAATAACAATCAGTGAGACTTCTCTTGTTCAGATGCATCATAGCACAGTTGGGACCCACAATGTCCGTGGCTCAATTGCTTGGTATTGGTATAGAGCTAACTGTCCCCATAGAAAAGAATGATTGTCGCCTGCTCAGAGGCTTTCCTACAAGTTTTGTGATGAGTGCACCTGATGGTTGCAAAGTCTTGTTATTGGCCTGAATGCCAAGCAGTGCTTGAGTACATTGAATTGCTTGCAAGGATAAGTCTCCTTACCACCCTTTCAAATGCACAGTACTCTAGCTACCTTGTTGCTGTATTTGCCTTTCTATGCAAAATAGGATGCTTCTTTTTCCCCCCACACCAATCTTATAGTAGGTCTGGGCAAAATTGGAAAAACAATGCAGCACATCTCTGCAATTCTTGCATTTTCCTATGTTATATTCTTTCAAAGTGCTGTCAGTATAGAACAATAACTGTTGATCCTGCCAGAAATATTATGCAATCCTAACTTTCTTTGCACTCTGCTGCACAGAAATCCCTAGCAGTGTTCCTATCCCTGCCCAGTTCTCCTCAGCTGGACTACAGAATTCCTCCTCCTTGTGGTATGACAGATCAGCAGGTGTTTTTCTGTACTTGGGCATTTTCCTATGCTTTGTATCTTGAGAAATGCTGTATGTATTGCAGAGATATAATTTTTTGTTTGCTTGCTAAACATACACTTTACCTCCATGGGCTGTCTTTAGAGAGTACACAGGGGTCTACTTATCAATGTTTTCACTCAAGCTGTACACATTTTTTTTTCCAATGGAATCCAGTTGAGAAATGTGTAACCATAGGGTGAAATTTGGGTAAAAACATTGAGGAATAGACCTTGTGTTCTTTAAAGTCTTCTATCCAAGTGGTCTAACCTGTTTAAAGTGCCCATTGATACTTAATTCCTGAATGCAATGAAAAAGTCCTGAACAGTAATGTGCTTGCTACTGCAAAAGATCTCGTTATACACTGCTACAGCCACCGTGGATGTAATTCATGTAGGCAAAGGATATGAACAAGGAGCCATATAATTTGCTTGCGTTCATTTCCTGTTCATAATTTAGGCCCAGCGGCTATGTTGTCCCTGATTTGCCTTGCATGATATTAGCTAATGTACCATAACACATGTAAGTCTTTGTACTCTAGGGACAGTGATAGCACTGTAGCTTGCAGAAAAATTAGTGATTGTTAAAACCAACTTTTAAATAGGATATGTTTTTATTTTATTTTTTTACTCTTCCATGTTTTTTTCAATTTCTTTTCATTATTTATTTGAACAAATTTGGAACCTTGCAATTTTTGGGGATGAAACTTTAAAAAATGTTCTTCTTTTCTGTATCTGATGTTCTGTGTGCTATTAGTGATGCAGCCAACACGAACGGTTGTCATGTGTAACACATCTTTCGATCAGCGTGAAAACGGCGCCCTGGGAAAAGGCTCCATGCTTGATATCGTTTGGTTCATGAACCATAAGTTTCCAGTACAGGTGACCCATAGCACAAAGTGTTCAATCATTGTCTATACAATTTTATAAGTAATATTCCATTGATGAGATTTAGTCTTTCCAGTTTCCCTCACTTTTTTATTTAATTTCCGTATAGATCAGGGTAATGAACAAGAGGGGGAGAAAAATATCTTAAGTTCTTATTCTTTCTTACTAAGTATTTGCTAGTTCTTTTCGGTTTGATTTATGTAGTTAATTAAAATGAGGCAGTAGAACATCTTACATTGTTTTTTGTTAACATTGAGATTTTGCCTCTACAGGTAAAATACCAGAAGAATCTAAGGCTCTCTCTCTGTTGGCTCCTGCTCCTTCATTATCTAGCCTGCTTCCTGGGGCCGGCCTACTACCTATACCTACGCCTACTCCCACCCCATCTCCCCTAGCTTCTGTGAGTATTTCAGTACGTTTCTAAAATATGCGAGTGATTTGAAAATGTAAGCACCTTCATTTTAAAAATCCCCTTTCTTTATTTGCCGTAATGGCTTTTGAGGGACACATGAAGTCTTTCACCTTGGGTTACTGCCTACAAGAGGCATAGACAGTGGGAAAACACAAAAATAAAATGGCAGGCCAGCCCAGGACAACTCCTTGAACTACCAGCATGTCCTACTTTATTGCTAGTGTCCTAGGAGGATGGATGTCTTTTTCTTCCAGCTCTGCTGTTGGAAAAACTGACCTAATTTTGGTAGCACTTCTTTTTATTTTTTTCTTCTACTTTTAAATTTTTTTTTTCTCAATCAAGACACTTTCCTATATTTTTATAGCTTATAACTTTTAGAGCTTGGCTTTTGTTGCAGCTTCTCAGTGACCGCTCTGTCTGGCTTTTAGAGTACCACACACAGACCCTGGTGGATTGGATGTTGTGAGTATAGCCTGGGAGTGACCGTCGAGCATGGAGTTTAAATGCAATACATTGGGCTTTTCAGATTCCGTTTTGGTAAAAGATTGTGGCGTAGCATTTTCCAGGTCCGAAGCTGCTGGCATTTCCTTAGCGCTGGCCCTGTCTCTGAACACTCACTTTTTGAGTAGGCCGGTTAACCTGAGTACCAGACGCTATCTCATTTACTGAGGACACTGGGCGCCTTTAAAATTCTCTGTTTCATCTGTTGGAGGGCTGATGTCATCTGCTAGGTGGAGTGTGGTGTGCGTTTTCATTCTGGCCTTGCAGCATCTAGGAAGCATTTCCTCACTGTTGCTCCTTGCAAGAGCCATGTGGAACTGCGATCTTCAGTCCATTCCTGCTTGCCCACTTATGTTGTCGGACTATCCCTCGTGCTACCAGCTGCCTGAGTTTTGGGAATACCTGAGGCCTTGCCTCATGCCGTGGTTTTACTCTGATTTATCCTTATTGGCTTCTTAACCTCAGCCACAGAGACTCTGGCTGACTCTGAATCGCCCCAGTCTTTGACTGATGAGCTTGCCCCTGTGGAGTTTGTCTACTGATATCACTCCCAAGTCAACTGTTTTGGCTTTTTATAGATGTGGTGCTAGACCTCTCGACTGCAAGGCCATCCATCCAGGAGTCAATTGGGCAGCGCCACACATTTCTTATATTGCGAGGCAAGGACTCCTATATGGGACGACTCCTATCTTTTCTCCACTCTGACTTGGATCAACATCTGGTCTTGAGTCCCACCATCACTCTAATGATTCTCTTGCAAAGATCACTTGCCTCTTACTCCTTTGTGAAAGCTTTGTTCAGGGGGTCACTTGTGTTTCCTAGTGGCTTTGTTCCCCTACGGCTCTGTAGGATCTCAACCTAGTTTTGTCAGTTTTCCAGAAACTCTTTGAACCTCGCAGGAACATTCCCCTGTCTACTCTCACTCACGGGCTAGGTTCACACCTAGGCGATTTATCACGCGGATTGGGTCGCGCAATATCTCACAAAACACAGATTCACATTGAAGTCTGTTCACACCTGTGCGGTTTGCCCGAGAAAAGGTGCAAGAGCGATTTTCGGGCGGTTGTTGCGCGGTTTGGGACCCATAGACCTTTCTATGCATTGAAAACCGCACGATCGAGAAACGAGCGAAAACAGCTCGGCATCTGAATCGCCTACGTATGAACCTAGCCACAAGGTTTCCTTCCTAGGCGAGGTGGGTTTCTGAGTTGGTGGCCTTATTCTGTATAAGACCCTTTCTTGTGCTTCACAGAAATGAGGTTGTCTTTAGGCTTAAAACCTCTTTTCTCCTTAGGTGGTTTCTTCCTTCCACCATAACCAGGACATTGTTCTCTCATCTTTGTCCTGTTCCACAACCTCCCAGGGAGATTCCCTCTATCGTCTGTGAATGGTATGTGCTATTTAAGTATATTTCACAGCTTCAACTTCCATTAGATAGACTGTCTCCCTGTTTGTCATTTCTTAGAGTCCCGAAGGGGACTACCGGCTTCACTCTCCACTCTCAAGGTGGATTTGCCAGCTCATTGCTCAAGCCTATAGAGCAAAGGACAAGGTCCCATGCTTCCTTGTAAGCAACACGCTATTGCACACTCTACTACACACCTCTTCAACATCAGGTATTTGTCTTCCAGATCTGCAAGGGTGTTACCAGGTCCTCGGTTCACAGGTTTGTCAGGTTTTACCAGGTGGGTGTTCAGGCCTAATCTGATGTCAGCTTCAGTTGTAAAGGTCTTCGGGCAGCTCTGTAAGCTCTGTTGTGCCCCCCTTTGGTAACCACCTGTTGTTTGTGGGTCTGTTAGTGTGGTTGCGGTTACCCACCCCTCAGCTTGACTGCTTTTAGACATCCTGAATTACCATCCTGTGTCCCTTTTTAAAGTGCAATTAGGACAATAAGATTTTCAGTTTGCCCTAAAATCCTTTTTCTTGGAGTACCTTAAAGGATGCAGTTTCCTCCTCCCTGTTTTGATGATCCACTCCTAGTATTGCTTGTGTGATACTAGGCTGCCCTTACAGCTTTGTTTAGCCAGTGGCCAATCTCCTAATGTCAGCAGCATAACACTATGTACCTGCATTATCATCCTGTGCTCCTTAATGTATTTCAAGGAAAGGAACTTGCGCTAATTAAAAATCGTAACTCTGGGGTTTAATCTCCAAAATTAATTTGCTGATTTAATTTTGGAATTGTGTTATGACCATAAAATGTAGTGTATAAACCATTTCAAATGGAGTCTGGCTAGCCCTGCAAACAGAGTGGAGGTTTCCCATGTATTCCTATATAGAGATTTAAGTCCATGGTGAAACAAAAGCAGCTTGAATGGGTTGATGTAGCTTAGGTGACCAACTGCAGTTGAAATGCACCCGTCAAGGAATTCTGGATCATCTAAAATGGAACTCAAAATGATGCCGTAGGGCCGGTTCACACCACAAACTCCGCGTTCCAGTGCGTTCAGCCTCTGCAACACAAGCCGGCCGGCTCCCTGCTTTCAGGGGTGGGAGGGGGCGTGCCGGTGCATTGAAGTCAATGGCACCGCAGCTAGTGCGATCGCCCGCACCCGGAACGCAGGCACATTAGTGCTTGCGTTCCGGTCCAGTGCGATCTGCAAAAATAATGTGCCTGCGTTCCGGAGAGCCGGCCAGCTTGCGTTCCAGAGGTGGACGCGGAGTTTGTGGTATGAACCAGACCTAAAGCAAGCTGAATTTGCCCTTGCCTGACTCAAGTCCTTAGGTCGGTGAAGTGAAAGTGACTTTTAGATGGGGCTGCAACTAATTATTTTCATAATAAATTAGTTGGCTGACTTTATTTTTTTTTTACAATTGCACTGCACTGGCACGCACGGCATTGCGGTACCCTGCATTCCAGTACGGGCGATCACATTGTGGGTGGGAGGTGCTTTTGGGGTCCATTGAAATTAATGGCACTGCAAAGCACCTCCTGCAGCAGAATTTGTCAGGCCGAAACCAAAAATTACTTTTCCCAACTTTATAATTTAAAAAAAAAATAATTGTATTGTAAGCACATGGCGCTTGAATAGCTTCAGCCCGGGATTAACAGCTGCCAGTGCCAAGATTCCACAGAAGGCAGCTGAATGTAAATACAGCAGGTAGTGGGCGGGTGCAATAACCAGCTATTGGGCATTTCACATTGCAATAGCAGCCTGGCTATTGCACCCGCCCACTGTTGCTATGCCCTTCTCCCAGCATGGAGGAGGGAGAGCTAGGGGGTCCAACCAACTAATCGCTCATGAGAATAGTTGGCAACTATTCTCATCAATTATTATAGATGAATCAATTAGTTGGTTGCAGCCCTACTTTTAGATGCTCACAGCTTGTGTTTGTAGTAACCTCTGCATCGATAGATGTAAAAACTGTATTTGAAAGAAATATATAGTGTGAGGATAGACTGCAGTTGTACTTTAAATCTACTATTACCATTTCGATTTTAGCTGGCAGTTATATCAGTATTTTTTTTTTTTTTTTACTTATAGAGAAATTGTGTATTTTGTGTTCCCATTTTGATACCCATTATTTATTTTGGCTTCCTAGGTTCTGAGAAGAGAAAAAGTGGATGTGCCCTTGGTAAGTACACTACGAACTGTTATGTTTGGTGCTGAAATTCAGTGTTTTTTATTCTGTTTTAGTGTTTTTAAAAGAGCTTAAAGAAGAAAAATGAAATAGTTTATATAACACACACACCCCCCAAAAGGTAAGGAGAGGCAGGGACCAATGTGAATACAAACCAAGAGTTTCAGCTGCTGGTTGCTTTTTTTTTTTTTATTCATATGCAATATTTATTTGCCTGACTAAACTTATACATACATTTTGTTTTGCTTTTACCTTTTTCAAATTCTTTGCAGTAAATCAAGCAAACCACCCAGTAGTACATTAGTGTGCTTTTCCTCATCAATAATGTGTTGTATACAAACTACTTACAATAACAAGACATAGAAAATGGTACATATACACCGATCAGCCATCATATGATGACCACCCGCCTAAGGCCCCGTTCACATGTAGCGAATTATCGCCGCGATATCGCGAGAAGTCGCCGGCCAATGCTATTCAATGGAGCTGTCTTAACTCCATGTCGCTCGTCGCGGTCGCAAGTCGCTTCTACCGGACCCTTTTTTCGGCGGATTTTGCGCGATTTTGCTTTTTTTCTATGGAGCCTGACGGAGAAGGTCGCGCTACCGTCGCTGGAACGTCGCCCCGAAAGTCGCGCTATCCGCTGCAAAAGGTATGTCGCTACATGTGAACAGGGCCTAATCTTGAGTATGTCCACTTTTTACCTCCAAAACAGCTCTGACCTGTGGAGTCATGGACTCCACTAGACCTCTGAAGGTATGCTGTGGTATCTGGCACCAAGCCGTCAGTAACAGATCCTTTAAGTCCTATAAGTTGGGGCCTCCATGCATCGGACTTGTTTTTCCAGCACATCCCACGGATGCTTGATTGGATTGAGATCTGGAAAATTTGAAGGCCAAGTCAACACCTCAGTCTTGTTGTGTTCCTCAACCCCTTTGTGACGTAGAGATACACACTGTACGTCCCATCACAAAGTGCCTATATGACTTGCCACGTACACTGTACATGACAAGTTATTTAAGGCTCTGTAAGGCTCTGCCGTTAACCACTGATTCTCAGCAGTTACCAGTCATTAATGAATGCCTCAGTATTGAGGCATTCATTAAGGAAATAGTTATAATAGGTCCTAGGTGTCATCCTTGACTCGGACCTCACCTTTCTTCCCCACATCCAATCCCTATCCAAATCCTGCCGCCTTCACCTTCGTAACATCTCCAAAATACGCCCCTTCCTCACCAAAGAAACTGCAAAATTACTCATCCACTCCCTTGTTATCTCTCGTCTTGACTATTGTAACTCCCTCCTCATTGGCCTTCCACTACACAGGATATCCCCCCTTCAGTCTATAATGAATGCAGCTGCCAGACTCATCCACTTGACCAACCGCTCAGTGTCTGCAACCCCCATCTGCCAATCCCTGCACTGGCTTCAACTCGCCCAGAGGATAAAATTCAAAATATTAACAGTCACTTATAAAGCCATCCACAACTCTGCCCCCGGATATATCTTAGACCTTGTCTCAAAATATCACCCTAACCGTCCACTGCGCTCTTCCCTAGACCTCCTGCTTTCCAGCTCCCTAGTCAACTCCTCCCATACTCTCCTCCATGACTTCTCTAGAGTCTCTCCCATCCTCTGGAACTCTTTACCCCAACCTGTCCGTCTGTCTCCCACCCTGACTCTCTTTAGGCGTTCCCTGAAGACTCTTCTCTTCAGGGAAGCCTATCCCACCTCAACCTAACCACTGAACCATCACATTCTCAAACAATTCATCCCCACACAGCTACCTCCTCATGTATCATTTCCCCCTCCTCTTTCAGATTGTAAGCCCTCAGGGGCAGGGCCCTCCTTACCATCCTGTCTTGAATTGTATTGTAATTGTAATGTCTTCCTTACATTGTAAAGCGCTGCGCAAACTGTTGGCGCTATATAAATACTATGTAATAATAATAATATTTAAGCTTTTGTAAAAGCTTCTTTCTTTCATTAATGAAATAATGAAGCCGTTACATACAAATACGGGATCGCTAAATGGCAATCCCGTATTTGACAGCTGAAGATAGCAGAGTGAGTCACCTCTCTGCTATTCGTATTGACAGCTCCATAGACTGGCCCCTTTTTTATGATACATTTCCGGCACAGAGATACATTGGGGGGAATTTATCAAAGCCTCTTGGATCATTTTTTTAATGTGCAAATCTTTCTTTTAACATGTACCCCTGTTTTCTTCAGAGCTTGCACTACTTTTTCAACTGCATGTTTTTTGCACCTTTTTTTTTGCATGTGTTTTCATCTGCACTTGTTCTGGGCTGTCTGAAACTGGAGCATCACCTAAGAAAACACTCACAACTTAAGACGTCCCCATGACCACTTCTTCAAGATGCGACAGTTAAAGTGACATTAAACCCTCAGATTTTTTAACATAAACCAATACTGTAATGTGTGCCTTACTGTAATCCATGGTAGTTTCCCTTCTCTTTGCTGCTCTTCCTTTTAAATCCTCAGGTCTTCTCATGCTTGGGAAGAACTTCCCTTTTCAGCTCAGGGCCTCTTCCTGTAGTGCTGGCTCAGGTTTCAAGCCTATACAAACGTATACACAGACACCATGTATCCATTCCTGAGACAAGGCAGTCTGCTGCAAAACAGAAGTTCTGCAGAGCATGAGAACAGATACAGATTTAAAAGGAAGAGCAGCAAAGAGAAGGGAAACAACCATGGATTAGTGTAAGGCACACATTACAGTATTGTTTTATGTTAAAAAATCTGAGGGTTTAATGTCACTTTAAGCTTTTTGCCTGAAGTTAGAAGTCTTCGTTCTTGGAGTCTATTAAACCTCATTTATCAACAACATTACACTAGCTTGATAAATCTGGTGCAAATATATTGCGTGCAGGTTGAAACACTCGCAATTGCTTTGATAAATTCCCCCCAATGTATCTCTTTGCCGGAAATGTATCACTTCTGATTGTCTGAGCAAGTTTAAAGACTTTTAGTGAGATCTGAATCTGACATGCTGTCAGGATCAGTCTCTAAGGTTATTATTAGCTGTTCCTAATGCTGGGAACACACCTTACAAAGTCTTGCGATGGTTGTAAGGTACTTAAAACGTACGATCTGCCTATCTTGGACAGGCAGATCGTACTTGCGATGATCACAAGCCGCGCCCCCCTGGGGGGCGGGCTTCCGATGACCGCAATGCCGAACTGGCAGTGTGCGCTTGCTTACACCGGCCCTTCCGGCTTTTATCGTACCAACATGCTACACACCCGCCGAACATCGTACGATGCTTGGCGGGTTTTCGAACATGTTCGTAATTTAAAAGTCGTGCGACCTTACAGTAGTAGAGGTCGCACGGCTTCCACAAACCTTACGATAATCGTACGATCGCGGGATTTCCCGCTATTATCGTACAATTATCACAAGGCACCTTAAGTTTGGCAGCAGCCTAATAATAGCCAAAAATTTTAAAAAGTTAATTTATCAAGCAGTCATAGTGATTGCTTGATATAAACTGACAAAGCGTTAAAAAAAATTGTGTAAAACTAAATTAGGAAAATAAAAATGATATATAAATATATTTTTTATACTATAATTATAAAAAAATTCTAAAAAATAATAATAAAAACTTGTGAAAAAAGTGTTTTCTTTTAGTTTTTTCTTCATTTTTTTAAAATATTTTATTCAAACTAAGTGAGGCGTAAGGTACACATGTTTGATATAATTATATAGCCCTATCTGTCCTCTAAAAAACAATATATAATATGTGTGGGTACATTTAGTAAGAAAGTATATTACTGCTGTGGAAGAATCACAGCAAAAATTTAAAAAGTGTCAGTCATTTATGAACAGAAACTGAAAACTAGCTCAGTCATGAAGGGGTTAAACCATTCTTGAACCATTTTTGAAATGTGTCAGGGTACATTATCCTGCTAAAAGAGGCCACTGTCATCAGGGAATACCGTTTCCATGAAGGGATGTACTTGGTCAGCAACAGTGTTTAGGTATGTGGTACGTGCTAAAGTAACATCCACATGGAAGGCAGGACCCAAGCTTTCCCAGCAAAACATTGCCCAAAACATCACACTGCCTCCACCGGCTTGCCTTTTTCCTATCCTAACAGACCAGGCCACCTTCTTCCATTGCTCCGTGGTCCAGTTTGCACGTTCACGTACCCATTGTAGGCACTTTTGGCGGTGGACAGGGGTCGTCAGCATGAGCACCCATTTCCAGGTGCCATTGTAACTAGATAATCAATGTTATTCACTTCACCTGTCAGCGGTCATAATGTTAAGGCTGGTCAGTGTATATGCCTATTTGCACATGCTGTCTCTCTCCCTAGTGACTGAACGTTGGTAGTAGTATGTATGCAATTAGGGATACACAAAAAAAGTCACTTAGTTTCTGTTAAAGCTTGTCCAAGAGTTCATTGTAAATGGGTCTCCCAATAATTAGGTGCTACAGTAGAGGGATTCTGGATTTTGTCTGTCTCTCCTCTCATCTATATTCCTTCCCGTGTGGGTGTAGCCCTGTCCACTTACATCAATTTCTATGAGGGAAACATTTCTGTCTGCAGACTCTAGATGGCAGCACATTAATACCATAGGATCACTGTGCCCAAAAGGTATTATACACTATTGTTGATTCTTATTCACACAGCCGCTATAAGGCTTGGGTCCAGTATAGAGCTGCCCTAAACAATGGAAAGGAAGAAAATTAATCCCCCCCCTCTCTCCCACCTGTCTCTCTCTCCTCCCCTCTCTCTCCTCCTCCTCCCCTCTCTCCCCCCTCTCTCTCCTCCCTTCCCCCCTCTCTCTCC